CTTAGTAAAATTACGGGTAGGTTGTGACTTTGAGATATCACCTGACCTATCATCGGATAAAATTGCTGTCTACTTTCATAAAATATATACAACTTTACAACTGTCTTTCACAAGGGCAGACTTGATGTTATTCCAAGACATTTGTTTGTAGTTAAGTGAACTTGGCTTGCTTTTGGACTACTGAGTTCTCCTTCCAAGTTTGGTCTGGATGGTTAACTCGTTTAGGAGAAGATGCGTCCACAGAAAATTTACTGCGCACCGATATGACTTAATTAATATATATAGCGCATATGTAAAGAACGCCTGTATCCCGATTTTTGTACTCGGCAGAGATGGATTATCAAAGAATATAAATGATATTTAGATGTTATACTTATACCCAGTTTATTTATTATTCCATTAACATTGATATTTTTTATAACGAATGTTACTACAGTTTATTTAATGTTTGTGCTTATATGATGTATTATTCAGAATATATTATTGTACAAGGAAATACAACAATGATCATTTGTACAGTTTCTAACTAAGATAGAAATGAACATGAACATTAATAGAAGCGAAAAGTACTGTACCCTATTTTAATTTTGTTAATAGTTTTTCAATCCAAATTTACAGGAAATGTTTAGAAATTAAACCTTTAGCTACATTAAACGTAATTTCAACTTATGTAACACAATATAAATGACGATGCAATCAAACTGGAGTGAAAAGCAAAAGCCAACTTTAAATTCCTACAGTTCCTAATACTCTCACTTTTATCCCCTAGTTATTAGAAATATAGAAATCAAGAAATAAGAGGAAAATATTTTTTTAGTAAAAAAAGAGAATATCACACAATAACATTTGAATTGGATAAAACAAAAGTAATATACAAAACGATACAAAAACATTTAAGAATACTGGGTAAATTTATAGATTAAAAACTGTATCAGTATAAAAACTCATGAGTAGAGTTCAAATAAATATACGCTACTTTAATACTTTTAGCTTAAATTACTTAAATTCTCAATTTACATAAATGCTGTTTCCGTTGCTGTGGTAGGCAGAGCACAGATAGCCCATTGTGTGGCTTTGTGCTTAACAAACGATCAAACAATTACATCAATCAAATATAAACAATTGTACATTCAATAAATGTTGTTTCTAAATTTAGATCAGATCCAATAACCAATATCATTAAGAAGCCAGCGCTGTTAGTCAGAGTTGTGATGATTAATAGTATATTGCTTCAAGAATGAAATAAGAAAACAACTTACCATAAAAGCGTTTTTAAGCATGGAATCTAGTTGTGATAAGAAAGCAAGTGTGCTCTTGAATAAAATAATTCTTCGTCCTTACTCAGTTTCGACGTTCAGCAGTAGCATTTATGGATGTACATACATATATATACATAGATAGATAGATAAAGAGAGAGAGTAATTCATTTTCTCGGAACTCGCTGAAGATCTAGGGACGGAGGTAAGCCTAAAGTCATACTGACACAAAATTCTCGAAACTAATGAAATTCCTAACATTGAAAGTTACAAATATGAATCCTTAAAAAAGGCAGCAAAAAAGTGAGGTTCTAGTTTTTCTAACTGATACAAATCACTTATATCTTTTTCTTTTCAGTAGGTATACCCCTTCACTATATCTATACCTTCCCCTGCCTTCAAATGAAGTAGGCTTTTCCTGCATGAACTAGGTCTTCTTCTTCAGATCGATCTACTGCAACTAAACAGACATCGTCCCACGTATCAGTGTCCCCTGGTGTCTCAATGCCTAGCTTCAGTTACTAGCGTTACATGGTACTCGTTCCTGCCACAAAATCAATGGATTAAAAAAATTCCTGCGGTAATGTCCTCATATCGTGATTTAATTAACTTTACATTGCTATATACTCAAACATATGTTCATGAGATATATCGTGTTCATAAACTAATGTCTTTTAATATTTAATAAAAAGAAAATGACAATAATAATATGTATATATAAGTGATTACTTTTTGCTTTAAAGATATATATTCATTGTAATAAACAAAAGTATATGTATCTCATAATTTTAATGGCTTTATCAACATATATATTTGTGTTGTAGTACAATTCTTAAAACATAATATTTTCTATTCTCAGTATATGATAGAAAACCAAAAATTTTGTCAACATGAATTTAATTTTTAAAGATCTCACTCATAACTAAACATTTTGTTTTCAAATGGTCGTTCTTAAGTGAGATATGTACGGTACTAGAACTTTAGTTTTTCAACTCTGTAGTATAAATCAGTTTTGTTTTCACAAATACTTAGTAAATCACTTTCTTTCTTTCTTTTTCGCCGAAAGTGGCTCGCAGGGTTCGAAGTATGGTTCAATAATAAATCAACTGCTTTATTGTCATGCTATTAATTTCTCATATCGGTAATGTTCAGTGCTAGAACTACATTACCCCGATAATTTGATTTGATGATGAAAGTCTGACAGTAAGTAATCAGGAAAGGGTAATATGAAACATAAATAACCAAAAACTATGTTCAAATGTACTCATTGTTTCACCCAAACAAAGTAAAAATCACCATCCCTATCAACAAATGGTCTCAAAAGTATTTATACCGTTATTATAAAAACATAGGTAATTCATTTAACGTTATGCAGAATCTTACCATAAGTGAAGTAGGAGCGGTGCGCCCACACAGAGCGCCGACCCGTAGGGGGGTGTGAGTTCGCACCTTTAGAAGAAAGGATAGATTAGATTTTTTTGTTTGTTTGTTTTTTGCGCCATCAACGATCGGTACAGCCCTGGTGCTATATGTGTATGTAACTGATGGTGTCAATAAAATGCCTCATTTCATTAATCAAAGCTGTTTTATATACACCAAGTAACAAAAGTGAACAGCTTCGAATATTCAGAAACCTCAATTCATAATTTTATGAGCATGGAATTAAACTAAAATGATGTTGCCCACTGGAAATGTAAATTTTTTTATATTGTTAGATCCCTTGTAACAATCATATCGAATAAGTAAATAATTGTTTCTGATATTTATATTTTGAAGTTAAGGCAGAATAATGTTTTAGCTGTTTATTACTAAATCGTTAAATTGAAATCAAAAGTAAATTCCGGGAAGTACGTGTGCTGTATAACACTTTAGAGTATACACTGAGTGGTCACAAGTAAATATACACCTAATTTTTCGTCATTTAACTGAATTATGCTAACGAATTTGTGTTCACAGAGCACTATATAAATGAAAATGATCCGCACACTAATTATCTTGTGCTACAACATGCCTAGAACTCAAGGTTCTCTCGAGTTGTCAGATTTTGTTAGAGGAAGGATGGTTGGTCAAGCAGATGGTGGAATAAGTCAGCGGCACATTTCGCAGAATTTGGGAATCCCGCTTTCGAAAGTCAACAGAATCATCGTGCAGTTCAGGAAA